AACCATGATTGTTTTAGTTTCTAGTGGAAGGCTTTTATTTGGTTCTATGAACAGTTATTTTGTTTCCTATGCATTTCTAGCAAGTAATTTGTTCCATTTGTCTGGAATTTCTAGGCTACCTTTGTTGGGTTCACAGGAATTGATGGAGCACACCAGCTTGTTAACTTTAAACTAACTTTTTGGATATTAGGCTTCATGATACTTTAAGTGTATTGAGTATACTTTCAAGTTATATTTTTCTCTCTCTGCCTAATTTGTCCAGACTTTGTAAACTATTTGTGAATATTCTTTTTTTTTTTTTTTTTTTGAGATGGAGTCTTGCTCTGTTACCCAGACTGGAGTGCAGTGGTGCGATCTCGGCTCACTGCAACCTCTGCCTCCTGGGTTCAAGTGATTCTCGTGCCTCAACCTCCCAAGTAGCTGGGATTACAGGTGCCTGCTACCATGCCCAGCTAATTTTTGTATTTTTAGTAGAGACAGGGTTTCACCATGATGTCTGGGGTGGTCTTGAACTCCCGACCTCAGGCGATCTACCCACCTTGGCCTCCCCAAGTGCTGGGATTACAGGCATGAACCACTGCGCCTGGCCTGTGAATATTCTTAATTCGTGGCAATGTTTGTGTTTGCATATAGTTGAGCCACAGTCACTAGGGCTGCTCGGGGAGAGAGAACCCAGAAACCTGCCACGCTGGCAGAAGGGTAAGAATTTCTTACCAGTCGGGTCTCTGGCCTCTCTCTCTCTGTGCAAACGATTGAATGAATGGTAAAAGATTATAAGAAGGTATGGGAATGTAAGTTTTTGTAAACCTTTAACATATTTAATAGGCTTTCAAAATCAAATTTCAGCTTACATGTTTAGTTACATGGGAAGCATTGTGAAAATAAAAAAAGTTTAATTTTCTTCAGGTTATATTTCAGTGAATATTAACGTATGTTACAAAATTATAGGGGATTTCTAAAATTCTAAATATGTCTGAGTATGTGCTATCAATCATAATTATGTTTATTATATTACCTTACTATAGACCACCAAAATAGCCAAATTTCTTTGTATTAAAGTGTTAACTCAAGTAGAACAAAAATTAATTGAGTACCAAGAAAATACCTTGCCAGATTTGCATGCTAAATCAGCGGATACTAAAATTGTTTAGATATACAGTTTGAATGAACTCCAAGGTCTAAGTCAAATTGCCTATGATAACCCATCAGTTGTCAGTGCTATGCAGCTAAATTGGAGAAACAACAGGTATTCAAGAGGACATAAGTCAGATGTTAAGCATGGACTCATGAAGAACCAGGACAGCAGCCTTGCCCTTCCTGAGTCCTTCAAGCTTCTGTTATTAAAGGTTATGCATTCCATGACTCTTCATGGAAAAGATAAAATAATCCAAATTAAATATGTATTGGTGTGCTGACTTATAAATTGCTAACGTAGTTTATAACCACTGTTTGGTTTGTCAATCCATACTGCTGAGAAGACAAAGCTTCAGGTACATTTGGTTACCTCATGGACCATTTAAACATTTCAATTGTCATTTTCAGTGTATGTTTCTAGTTGTAAAAAAGCCTTCCTATGCAAGAGGGCTGATGTTATAATAGTAGATTATTATGCTACAGTGTATTTTTACCAGGTAAAGAAAACTTTACGGTTCACTGAGGACAGTCAACCCCTTCACAATCTAGAACCCAAAGACTGGGTCTTCTGAGAACATCTACTGTAAAGGCTATAGTTGCACAACAGACTTTAAATTCTTTTGTGAAAGTTATGATAGAATCGGCTGAACAGAGAAGTATCTGTGCAGCTGCTGGCACTTGTGGCCTATGGAGACATACATCAAATGAAGACTATAGAGATTTAGTTGTAGGGGATTAGCGAAGAGATTTCTTAGTTAAGTGAGTAGATTCTTTAGCACATTCTCTGATCTATTTAATTTTAGGTGGTTTGGTTTATGGGGACCCTGGGTACGAAGTATGCTCCAAACTCTCGGTATTATCCTCCCAGTAGTCATAATAATAGTCTCCCTGGTGCACTGTATTCTCTCAAAGGCTTTAAATGCTTGCATTCAGCCATCTCTAGAATGTCAAATGGTCTCTCTTCAACTGGAATGATGAGAGCTGAAAAAAAAATGCCTGACCAGGAGGATACCATAACCTATGAATGATGTGGTGAGGTTGGAAACCCAAAATGATGGCAAGTGAGTGTGGTGCTAAGGCCCTACATTTTGATCACAGTCTCACCCAAGTGAGAACCTGACCAAAAAGGGAGAATTTTTAAACAAAATTCTGGGAGGCCAGTGTTTTGGACTGAGCCCATGTGCTAGGCCCCAGCAAACCAAACAAACCAAAACACATAGATCCTAAAACAGACCAGGTTTTGTTTTTCTCCTGCAAACAGGATGTTCCACCATAAGGAGGTACCCTCTACTCAGTCCTTGTTCCCACCTTACAAAACCCACTCTTGTTTTATTGTTTCCCAGTGGGTTTCAAGACCAAATAAGTACATTTATGATGGTAATACTGACATCAATGACTAAAGTTTCGGTCAATCTCTCAAAATTGAGAAAATGACCAAAAGGGGGAAATTGTTAAAGCAAATTAAATATAGTCTGAGAAGGGCTCTGTATTTCTATATCGGAGTCCTTGTGGACAAACGGTAACCTAACTTAGGAATACGTGCCTGTAAAAATAGCTGAGTCTTGGCCAATTCCAGCAACCCCAAATCAGGCCAGGAGATAAGGTACTTATTAAAACATGGAAGGAGAGATCACCTGCTCTGGATAATACTGGCCATTTTTATAGTGCCTCCTTCCAAACTTATGGAATCACTTCCTTTGTAGTAATTAGCAGAATGTTTCAATTCATGTCTGTAATGAACATTCCTGACAGCATAAGTATCCACCCCCTGAGGTTCCTGTTAAATCTTTTAACCATATTCATTTCCTCTCACATAGAGACCATCAAGCTTCAGATGATCATGTGACAAGGTTTCCAGTCAGTTCCAGGTGAAGACACCACCCCTGGCCATCAGGATGCCACCCTGTCTCCACTAGACAGGGTAGGGCCAGAGTTCCATGATCTCCAATAGTTCCATGATCTCCAATAGGGAACCTAAGGGTTCACCTGACTTCCTGGAACTAAATCAAAAGGAAAACCTCAACTTTCCGCACCTAAGTAACAAAAGGACCAGAGACCACTCCCTTTGCAACTCCCACTCCTCACTTTCTTCTTGGAGATGGAAAATGTTTTGAAAGTACCTCTGATTGTCTTTCCATAACCAATCCGACGTTTGCATAGGAGTGTAACTTTGTAACTTCAGCCTCTGATTGGTTATGGAAAGCAACCAATCAGACTAATTGCAGTCCAAATCTTCTTTTGCATAGGAGTGGAAATTTGTAACTTCACTTTAGCCTTTGATTGGTTGTGGAAAGCAACCAATCAGACTGATTGCAGGCCAAATCTTTTGCATAGGAGTGTAACCTTTGTAACTTCACTTCAGCCTCTGAGTGGTTGCTTTCCACAACCAATCAGACTGATTGTGGCACCACTTCATTTACATGGGGTGAACAACAAGTGGCCAATGGACAACCTCTAGGAGGTATTTGGACCCCAGAAGATTCTACAGCAGGGGCTCTTGAGCCCCTATGCTGGGGTCTGCTCCCACCCTGTGGAATGCACTTTCATTTTCAATAAATCTCTGCTTTTGTTGCTTCATTCTTTCTTTCCTTGCTTTGTTTGTGCGTTTTGTATAATTCTTTGTTCAAAATGACAAGAACCGGCCGTGTGCGGTGGCTCACGCCTGTAATCCCAGCACTTTGGGAAGTTGAGGCAGGTGGATCACCTGAGGTCAGGAGTTAGAGACCAGCCCGGCCAACATGGCGAAACCCCCTCTCTACTAAAAATACAAAAAAATTAGCAGGACATGGGGGCGCACACCTATTATCCCAGCTACTTGGGAGGCTGAGTCAGGAGAATCGCTCGAACCCAGGAGGTGGAGGTTGCAGTGAGCTGAGATTGTGCCATTGCACTCCAGCCTGGGCAACAGAGCCAGACTCTGTCTGGAAAAAAAAAAAAAAAAAAAAGACAAGAACCTGGACATCTTCCACCCGTAATAAGCCAAGACTGTGCCACAGCACTCCAGCCTGGGCGACAGAGTGAGACTCTGTCTCAAAAAAATTAAAATACAACAACAGCAGAAGTATGAACTAAAAAAACCACCTCTGTGGGGTGGATGTGGCCTTGAGGGTACCAGTTTCCAGACCTTGTGTCAAGCGGCCTAGGACCTTATCTGTATCCTTTGTTACCTGTCACGGATACTGACCTTAGGCTTGGACCACCAGGATCCTGCCCTGCACCCCACGCTTTAGTTGGCCCACTCCAGCTGGAGGGCATGTTCCCTTCTAGATCATGCTCCTGGTACCCTGGACTCTGGAAATTCCTGTGCAAACAGCCCTGAGCCTGCTTCCAAGATCTGACTTCCCTCCACCCAGGGCAGCCTGCACTGTTAGAATGAAGGATGGCAGGGTAGGGGGTGTGTGTTTGCCTGAATGCATTGGGAGTCCCCCTTCGGTATGTATGGGATGGAGTCGTGTGGGAATAGAAGCAGCAAGACTACTAGCAAGGGCTCTGCATTTGTTCTCTTGTCCCTGGCTAGGCAGTCGTCAGGGGTGGGCCTGCCTGTCACTGCCCCGTGGGTCAGGCTGTAAATAAGAGCGACTCTTGATTCACTCTTTACCCTGGGCCAGACAGTCCGATGCATCCTGCATCCCATCATTCGTAATACCAACTCTGAGGACGCTGACAAGCAGCAGTCCCGTTTTACAGACGGAGGCACAGAGGTTGAAATAAGTTGCCCATAGCTAGTGAGTGGCAGAGGCAGGGTTTCAATGGGACAGTCCGTGGCGGAGCCGACTGGCTCCGCCGCCAGCCCCCCTGCGGAACCCGTCGGCGCTCGCCGCCTGGGACCGCCAGCCCGGGGCGGGGCGCCGGCCGGGACCCTCCGCGCCCCTCTCCGTCTGCCGCCCGGGCGGGCCTCCGCGGGGGCGCGAGGAAGGGGTGTTGGGTCGCCAGGGCCCGCCTCCCAGCTGCCCCGGCCGCCGGGGGGCCTGGCGGTGACGGCGGCGCCTGGCGGCGGGGATTTGGCGCGGGCCGGGGGCCGGGGGCCGGGGGCCCGGGGCCGGGCCCGGGGCGCGGGGGCGCGGGGCTGGATTCCTAGGGCCGCGGCGCTTCCCGGCATGCTCCGCTGCAGGCCCGCGCCCGCGCCCGGACTTTGCCATCGGCGGGACTGTCGCGGGATGCGCCCCGGAGCCGCAGCCTGAGGTGGGTGAGCCCCGCCTGGCCGGGCGGGCCGCGGCGAGTCGGGGCGGGGGGCTAGGAGGGCTCGGGGCCCGGCCCGGCTGCCGGGGAGAGGGGAGGCCGGCGCCGCAGCTTTGTTCTCGCCGCGGGGCCGCGCGCCCGAAGTTGGGCAAAGGAGTGGGAGCCGCGCCCGGTAGCGCTCCGGGGCTCGTGCAGCGCGTCCCGGGCGGGCTGGGGGTCCCTCCCTCCCAGGGACAGAGTGGGCGTCCTGGGTGGACGAGCACGGACGGGGAAGCGGGTAGGGTCTTGGATCTGTTTTGTCCTTGTGGGTCCAGAACCGGAAGGGAAGGGGGAAAGTAAGGGAGAGAGAAAGAGAGGGAGAGAAACAGGAAAACTTACTCTTCAAAAACACAAAGAAACGCCACGCAGACAGACTGCATGGAAGGACCGCGAACACACGCTCCGAGAAACACACTCAGCTCACACGCACTGAGAAGCACACTTAAGATAGACACTCAGGTCACACATAGAAGCACACTCAGAGAAACAGTTCACACGCACTCAGAAACGCACTCCGAGAAACACACTCAGCTCACACTCACTCAGAAGCACACTCAAGATAAACACTCAGCTCACACACAGAAGCACACTCGGAAAAACATTCAGCTCACACACACTCAGAAACACCCTCTGAGAAACACACTCAGCTCACACCCACTCAGAAGCACAAACAGCTCACACAAGCACATTCAGAAAACACTCAGAAACACACTCAGCTCACACTCAGAAATACACTCCGAGAAACACACTCAGCTCACACACTCAGAAGCACACTCTGAGAAACACGCAGCTCACACACACAAAGAAAAACAGCTCGCGCACACTTAAACACAAACACTCGGAGAAACACACTCAGAAGCACACTCAGCTCACACACACCCCGAGAAACACGCGCAGAGGAACACAAGGCACAGGAAGAGAGAGGAAACCAAGTGGGTGGTCTTGGAAGCCTGGGATGGGGGAGGGGAAGGAGAGACACTGAGAAGGGGGAGACGGGAGCAGCAGAGGGAAAGATGCATGGAGAGAGAAACAGAGATAAAGGCAGACGTAAGAGGAGGCAGAAAACACAGGCCAAAAGGAGGTGGATGAAAGGACAGTACAGAGAAACACACATCGAGAGAAATAGGGGTGGACCCTGACAATTACCCCCTTCCCCCCACCCTACCTCTCACAAAATCAGAGATACACACAGATGAAAGAGGCAGATGCCAACCTTCTCATCTTTGTGGTCCAGTGAGCTCCAGGTGGGAGAGCAGCTCTGTGAGCCCTTTGAGAAAAGCCTCCTTGGCACTTTAAGCCGGGCATGTCCCAGCCTTGTCTACCTAGCAAACTCCTGCGCATCCTTCAAAACCCAGCTCAAGCATCAGCACTCCTGTGGAAGTGTCAGTACCCAGAAAGTGTCATGCAAACATATTTACTCTCCTTTCCGTGTTCTTCTGCAGGAAGCACAGGCACATGGAGTTGAAGTGGTTTGTCACCTGTCTGCCTCTCCCACCAGCTTCTTAAGATCAGGGTCTCTGTCTTACCCGTCTCCAATCTCCATTGCATGATGCACAGTAGATGGTCAATAAATACTCAGTGTGAATGGTGACTGAGAGCGTTTGAGCCCTCCAATATATGGAGGATAGAATTAAGTGCAAATAGAGGAAAAGCACCATCCTGGTATTGTACCAGGACTCCTAAGTCAGAGTGTTCTTTTTTCACGTAGAGAAATTAAAGCCCAGAGAGGGGAGAATGCTTGCACAAAGAGAGGCAAGCAGGAGGCCTCCAATGAAATAACAGTGAATATGTACTTCTGTGAGATGCCTTTGTTCTTCTGGCTTATGAGTTTAAAATAGGTGTGAAAGACCCCTATTCTTCAGTTCCTTTCTCCAGAGGTAGCTACTGTTATCAAGTTACATTTTATGTGTGTTTGTGCGTATCTATGTGTTCATACCAAAAAAAATTCTGTGCACAGACTAGTGTATACAAATGCACGGACTTCTTTCATTCTTCTTTTGTATACAAATAAAAGAATTCTACGAGAAAAAGAAATAGATGTGAAAGAGTCTCCTGAGTGAAAACAGGCAAGAGGCAATGGACACTTTAATGCCAGTTCTAAGTTTCCAGCATTGAAACTGACAATTAGAACTCTTTTCAGAACCTTTACAGTCTTCTTTCTTCCTTGGTAAGGAAAAGTATAGTGAATGCCCATCTCAGTTTAAGCGGATGGCTTTCTGCCTCCTGACTGCATATTGGACAAATTCTGTAACCTCCTTGAACCTCAGTTTCCTCAACTGTAAAATGGGGTTACTAATGTCCACTTCATAAGACTGTTGTTGGAAAAGTTTGAACAAAGTACCTGGTGCAGAGTAGATCCTCAGTAAATACAGTTTCATCTTTCCTCTTCTTTAATGGGTGTTCTTTTGTGCATGTGTTTATGGATGTGAAAACAACTGCTAGTTAAAATGTTTCCTTTTGTCTAGGGTTTAAAAAGCTATCTTAAGGCCCGGCGTGGTGTCTCATGCCTGTAATCCCAGCACTTTGGGAGGCCCGAGGCCGGTGGATCACTTGAGGTCAGGAGTTCAAGACCAGCCTGGTCAACATGGTGAAACCCCGTCTCTACTAAAAATACAAAAAATTAGCTGGGTGTGGTGGTGGGCACCTGTAATCCCAGCTACTTAGGAGGCTGAGGCAGGAGAATCTCTTGAACCCAGGAGGTGGAGGTTGCAGTGAGCCCAGATTGCGCTATTGTACTCCAGCCTGGGCGACAGAGCTAGACTCCATCTCAAAAAAAAAAAAAAAAGCTGTCATAGTCCAATTGGGAGCAAATTCTTCTGATAAAGGAAAAGGCAAATTTGGGGCACGGCATAAAATGTACCTTGGTTCTCTTCAGGCCCTCAGATCTCTGCAGGTGTCGTGGAGGAACCTAGCACCTGTCATCCTCTCCCCCAATTTGCCACTTCCAGCAGGTAAGACCCACCTGTCCCACCCTCTTTCATGGCTTGTTGACCAGATCTGATCTGACTTCATGTTCTCTCAAGCTTTAGCCCATAAGGAGGATGTGAGTGGGACTGAGTCAGGAGCCCTCCGGAAGCATGGAGACCGTGGTGATTGTTGCCATAGGTGTGCTGGCCACCATCTTTCTGGCTTCGTTTGCAGCCTTGGTGCTGGTTTGCAGGCAGCGCTACTGCCGGCCGCGAGACCTGCTGCAGCGCTATGATTCTAAGTGAGTGAGCCCATGGAGGGCAAGGAGGAGGGGTGGGCTCCAACTAAAGAAAAAGAGAGGAACACGTAGTTCAGTGTTGGGCAACTCTAACTCAGCTTTTTGGTTCTAAAATGGTGCCTGCAGGTGTCCTTCCCTATAAAGGCCTCAGAGTTTAAGAATGTTCCTTAAGCCTCCCAACATCCTGAGTCACCTCCTTCTCTGCTTCCTGAGCCAAGAAGAAAGTCACTGAATATGAACATGTTCACCTAGCATAAAAGCTCAGCCATCTGTCTCAAACTGGCCACCTCACTTAGCAATTGGACAAGCTAAATCACTTTCCAGCCAGACCCAGAGGAACAGAAATCAGATGCCCACACTCTGCCCATACATCTAAGCAACAAACATTTGGCTTTGTGAAATTCCAACTTAGGACTGTGTCTCTCTTTGCACAGCAGAGTTTTTTTTTTTTTGTTTGTTTGTTTTTTGAGATGGAGTTTCACTCTTGTCTCCCAGGCTGGAGTGCGATGGTGCAATCTTGGCTCACGGCAGCCTCTGCCTCCCGGATTCAAGTGATTCTCCTGCTCCAGCCTCCCATGTAGCTGGGATTACAGGCATGTACCACCATGCTCAGCTAATTTTTGTATTTTTAGTAGAGGTGGGGTTTCACCATGTTGGCCAGGCTGGTCTGGAACTCCTGACCTCAGGTGATCTGCCTGCCTCAGCTTCCCAAAGTGCTGGGATTACAGGCATGAGCCACCATGCTCGGCCTGCCCAGCAGATTTATTTGTGATGCATTGTATGTGAAATATATTTTGTAAGCAGGATTTAATTTTCAATTTAGGGATATTTTAATTGATAGACCCTTCAGGGATTAACCCTTAGTTTTTCTCATCCTTCTGTCTTAATCCTATCAGCATCTTTGTCAAGTGATTCATAATTTATAAATGCCCATTTATATGATCCAGGAAAGCATTTCTATTGAACAGAATGCCATGGTATCTCATTTTCTAAAGTACCCTGTTGTAAAATTTGAGGTGTTTTTACTTCTTTCACTTTTCCAGTGTTACTAGGAAAAGGCAGGGATATAGGGATGGACCAAAGTGGTTCACAAGAGTTATTCCGCAGACCAGGTAGGGAGCCCCCGTAGGTTTGGGTAATAGGAACCACCGCCTCTCTATAAAATGTAGGATTAAAGGGAAAATATGTTACAGAAGGATATAATTTTGTCCTGAAGGGATATCCCTAACATCTTTGTAATCAGGTAGTTACACCCTACTCTTTCTGACTCCATTTCACTTTGCTTTTGTTTTAGTGCCCCCGGCCTGCCTCCCCAACTCACTGTCTAGCCACGTGCCCTGCCTTGCACTGCAGCCCCACTAGGCTTAGGTTTGGATCCGGGACAAGTGGTCTCTGCTCTAGCTTATCGACTCCCTTCCTTCTTTTATGGTGTATGTGGGCCTCAGTGAGGAGAGGGTCAGCAGCAGTCACCCACCATGAAACCATTTGACAGGGGCCTTTTCTTCCAGGCCCATTGTGGACCTCATCGGTGCCATGGAGACCCAGTCTGAGCCCTCTGAGTTAGAACTGGATGATGTCGTTATCACCAACCCCCACATTGAGGCCATTCTGGAGAATGAAGACTGGATCGAAGATGCCTCGTAAGGCCATGGGAACTGTTTGCTTTTCCACGGCCCCCCGGGCTTCTGGAAAATGGTGCCCTTTGCTGGCGTCCTTTGCCAGAGTACTTAGCTGGCATTCAAGAACAGTCACTCTGTTACTTGCTGCTCTTTCCTGTGCCTTTAGTGTTGGGGGAAATCAGAATATGACTTGAAAGTGTTTGTCCTTTCCTTCTGTGCCCACATTTTGTAGACCTGAACACTGCGGCCTATAGATGTGTGGCAAAGGTTGTTATAAAGTCACCCTGGTGTGCTTGGGTTATCCTTGAGGTGCCCATAAATTTGGCTCAGGCTCCAGAGATGCAGCTTTTTTCTTTAGGATCTCAGGGATCTCTCCATCCAACAGGACCCCCTACATTTTGAGAAGCGGCTGCTACTTCATTGCCTTATCCATTTAGCCATCCATTCCCTGGGCACATGTTTATGGGGCATTATGTGCAGGGTGTTGGGTCAGGTACTGCAGATACTGAAACAGTTGAGAAGACAGCTACAGTCAGTATCACAGAAACTGTCAGAGATCCCTGCGTACAGTGCAGTAGGCACATGGAGAAGGCAGTGTCTAGGTTTGCCTGGGTTGGGGAGGTTGAGCTGGATCTCACGGAATATTACCACAGAGGAGGTGCCTTTTGACTTGGGTCTTGAAAGATGAGGAGGAGTTCCCCAGGCTGAGCACAGGGGAAGGACACATTGGGCAGAGGGAACAGTCTACCAGAAGCTTGAGAGTTATAATAAAGCATGACTCACTAGGCACACAGTGGAGCTTGCTGGAAGAGTAGATTGGGTGCGGGGAGGAGAAGGGAGGGGAGGTGCTCTCTCGTTTAACTCATGGGCTGGTCCATGTTGACACTGAGGCATTCCCACTCTCAGTGGTTGGTATTTGACTGTGCCCACTGGTCAGGGCGAGTTGAGGAGCAAGGGTGGGAGCTGGAGGGTGGTGAGCCCCTCCAGATGAGCACTGATGACTTCTTCTTGTTTTCCCAGGGGTCTCATGTCCCACTGCATTGCCATCTTGAAGGTAAACCTCTCTCATTTCTCTGTGGGATAAAGGGGAGTCGAAAAGCACCGCTGTGTATGGACGGAGTAGAACAGGACCTTAGAAAGGGCACTGACCCCTCGCAAGAGGCTTTTCCTTAACCTGACACTTGGAATTTTTGTGGTTTCCTTCCTTTCCTGCCTGGACTGGCTGTTTACAGAATCTCAAGGCTGTTTCAAAGGCTTTATTTCATCTGGTTCTCTTAATTCAATGACCTGCGGGAAAGACAGCCTAGGTACACAGCCACCATTTCACCCCTTATAGAGAAAGCTGTGTGTGCCTGAGACCATGTAGCTGCCAAGAGAAATGGGGTTTCCCTGCTTCCCCCTGCACACTTTTTTTTCCACTAACAGAGTTCAGGCCTGTACAGTGAGTTTCTTTCTGTATTTGGATTTCTACTGTGACTACAAAGTCATCACTATCCCTCTTTGGCTGTGACCATAGTCAGCCAAATGGGACAATCATTGTTAAAAAACCAAAGCAGGCATACTTCAATCTGAAGGCAGACAATTTTTTCTTTGAATGCCTGGAATCTTTGAAATATTGCATCCAATTTGCATTTTGGGTGATTTTATGGTTTTAGCATTTGTTTTCAATTCTTGTCTGTTAATATCCTACCTAATAGAATAATAGCTATACTGAAATATTCGGCCAGTTGCAAATATCAGGTTTTTTTTTTTACATCAGTAACCTGGGTAATCACACATTTACCTCTTTGACTAGTAAATATTCAAGATTTCAAAAGAGACAACTTTGTCTTTTCTTCAGTGACATTCAGTAGAAGACACTATTAATAAAATATTCTTGACCCCACCTCTTCTTTGGCTGTCTCTCTCAGGGGATGGATAAATGCCTACTAGGAAGTTATTATCTCAGAGTCCAGGTTTAGTTAATTCCGAGAGGCTCTTTGGATATACAAATATGGCTATAGATATAAATATGGTTATTGATAGAGCTAGGTAGGCATAATGACTAGAGGATAATGCTATACTACATTTCCCTTCTCCCAGCCAAGATGTGTCCTGGGCCTGGGTTTTGTCTCCTGTTCTCATCTATTAGGAGGATAAATGGCATCTGTGGTGTGAGACGAATCAGCTGGAGGGAGTCGTATTGAATTGGAATCAGTGTCTACCCGGGGAACCTCAGATCAAAGGAGAGGACTTCTAAGTCCCCTCTTGGGATCTTAAGACACTTTTGCTAGGTCACCCGCCCTTGAGTCTCTGTGGTGGGAGCTGGGAGAGGGGTCTGGGCTAATGCCCGGATGGACCTTTGGGCTTCTTTCTGCTCTCTACTGTCCAGTTCCAAGTATAGGTCAGGTAGAGGTGCTTCCTTGCCATGGATAGAGACGCACCCATGTTGGTTGGTTCTAGCATGGGGAGGCCTGGAAAGGGGAAGCAAGCTCTGGGGTGGCCAGCTCTGTGGGTGGACAACAAAGAAGGCTGTATGTCAGTCTTGCCTTTTCCCTGCTTTTCCTAAGGTCCTTTCATCATCAGCTTGACAAACACGCTAATATATTACCTGAGACCATTGTTGAAATAAGTGCTGTTCTTGGAGCATGTGCTCAAAGGGAACAATGGCCCTTTGTTCAGCCCCATTCCTGAGGGTGCCCTGCTGGAGATATTTATTCTTGTGGAAGTCTAAACCATGAGATGAAGGAATAGAAAAAGAAAGTAGGTTTTTCCCCTAAGCGAGAAGGTGAAATTGGAGCACATGATTTTTCTCAGACAGATTATTTCAGCTTAGTCTTCCCAGAGCCCACACCCTGCCCTTGATCTGTGGCTCCCACCCCAGTTCCTCTCCCAGCCATGCCCTTGGCTTTTGCCACTTCCCACCCGTTTCCTCTCATCTCTGTACTTTTCACATCTGGCCATTAGGTTAGGGGGCCAGCTGCAATGGGACTCATGGCAGGGTTGATTTGTCTTGGGGGGTGATGGTGAGGCCCTGAGTGGAGCCAGGTCAGCCCTCATCTCTCTTCTCCCTGCCGCATTAGATTTGTCACACTCTGACAGAGAAGCTTGTTGCCATGACGATGGGCTCTGGGGCCAAGATGAAGACTTCAGCCAGTGTCAGCGACATCATTGTGGTGGCCAAGCGGATCAGCCCTAGGTGAGCGATTGGCGGCCTCGAGGTCCCCACACTCCATGAGGAAAGAGAGGGGCTGGATGCTGGGGTAGCCGCAGAGCTGGGCTCTTCTTTAAAATGGTGCACAGGCAACTTCAGCTATTTGTTTCCCACATATTTACAGAGTGACCAGGAGGGTTTAGATATCGAGACTTCCCAGCTAAGTTGTGCTCCCACCATCCCCACCTGCAGCATGACCCATCTGAGAGGGCTTTGAGGAAGCTCCAGCAGGTGCCTAGTCCTGACCCCGTCCTAGACTCTGCCTTGCAGAGCCCGTAGTGGCCCCTCTTTCCCAGCCACACACCAGCTCCCCTTGCCACACCTTCCTCCCAGGCCAACATTTCACACAGACGCTCACACCCCTGTCTCTGCATGAATCTGTATTGGAGACTAGCTTGGGGGACCCACTCTGGCTGTGCCCACTGCTCCATCCCTGGCCCAGGTCAGCAACCTCCAGCACTGGGTGGGAGCTGAAGCCATATGGTTTTCAACCTCCCAAATTCCAGGCTGACTGTGAAATCCCGTGTGGGAGGCAACCAGCAGGATTGCAGTCAACAGCTACACCCCCTCATTTGGGCTTGATTTCCTGAAGAAAAATAAAGCCCTTTTCTTAGAGCCAAGGGCTGTACTAAGTTTGTGCTGCCACCTGGTGGCTGGTATGCTGACATGCAAATCAGAGGGTTTTCCCCGCCAGCCACCTGGCCCCTCCGCCCTCCGGGAGGGCACCTCTGTATGCCTGGTGAAACAATGGCACTGCTGTAAGTTCCAGGGACCCACACGTTCCTTGTTGCCATGGCCCCTAGTAAATCACGGGGAACCAGCCCGTTCTCTGCCTCAAGATTAACCAAATAAAAACGACCAGTTTCCTGAGTCGCCACATGAGTTCCTTTGAGGGAAGACACGACCTGGTCAGCTTGAACTTGGTTCAGGCAGTTCATGAGTTGAGAGAGTGGGAGGGAGATAATCCAGGGAGGGACTCAGCCCAGAACAGTTCCCGGCTTTCTCTGGAGTTGCTCCAGTGGGGTGTAGCTACATGGTCAGCTCCTGGCTTTATAAGAACCCGTGTCCCAGGCTCAGGGTGGGCACTGGGCATTCCTTCCCCATTATTTATTTTTTTTTATTTATTTTTGAGATGAAATCTTGCTCTGTTACCCAGGCTGGAGTGCGGTGGTGTGATCTTGGCTCACTGCAACTCCAACCTCCTGGGTTCAAGAAATTCTCCTGCCTCAGGCCCCTGAGTAGCTGGGACTACATGCACCTGCTGCCTTGCCCAGCTAGTTTTTGTATTTTTAGTAGAGAGGCGGTTTCACCATGTTGGCCAGGCTGGTCTTGAACTCCTGACCTCAGGTGATCCGCCCACCTCGGCCTCCCAAAGTGCTGGGATTATAGGCGTGAGCCACCACACCCAGCCTCCTTCCCCATTAGTTTTAAATATTCTGCACTGTGGTATCCACTAGACCCTTCATCATGCTTTTTGTGCCTTCTAAGAGCCATTTGGGGGCCAGGCAGATTCCTGTGATATGGGTTATAAGGCAGCACTTTCAGGAGGTTGAGGTTTCTGGGTGAGTAGGATCAGTACTGGTCCTAAGGTGAGGGTATGGCATTGTCTAAAGGGTGGACCAGCCCTGGTGCTCACAGGCCGGTCCTAAAGAGCACCTTGGACTACTTCTAGAATGCTCTGTGCCATAATTCAGCCAGGGTCTTCACTTTGTCCTTTTGCCCTCACTCTTTTTTCTCCTTCTGGCCATGTTTTGTCCCCATTGTTTTTCCTGCTCCATTTATCCCACACAGTGTGTTGATGGCCTATTAGTCTCGAGGTGGTGGCTTCAGTACTAGAGAAAGGGACTGGCTGAGACAGGCGCCGAGGGTGACTGTGTCTCTGCATGTCCTCACCAGCCCCACAGCCCTGAATAAGAGTGTTTGAGGCCATCTTTTTTCAAGTGCTTTTAGAAATCAAACAATACATCTTTATTTTTTCTTCCTGTCGAGTGTTTATAAGCAGATTTGGAGCAAAACCTTGTACCACGCAAATCAGAATGGAGTGTAGTTCTGAACTTGATTTAAAAAATTAACCACATGGTAGAAGAAATCCAGTAGAGCAGTGTGAAGCCAAATGAAACTCATGGCCTTCTTTTTCCATGTCTTACATACCTTTAGCTTTGTATTTTTTTTTTTTCCTGAATACAAGAGTAATTCATGCTTCTAAAAATTTAAAATACTGCAGACATAGATGACCTGGAAAGTCTACTCCCTCCCAATTGTAGGAAGTAACCACTATTAAGTGGTGAGTGTTCTTCCAGATCCTTCCCAATCCCACATTTCAGAGCTTTTGTTTATCTATTTTTATGCAAATGACAGATCGAGCTTTACATATTATTTGGCAATTTGCCTTTTTAATATAGTAGTAATCTTGAACATCATTCCATATGTATGACTGTATTTTTAAAAACCACTGGAACTGAAACAAAACTGGAAAACAAAATAGTCTCTACAAAGACTGAACCTGAAGTCTTTGTGCCTCAGTGTCTGAGAATGCAGAAGCAATTGGAGAAAGAACCATTAAAGACCGGGTCTAGAATATCAAAAAAGAAGAATTGGAATAAAGATAGACAGGAAGGAAGGGGCTGGGTGTGGTGGCTCACGCACCTGTAATCCCAGCACTATGGAAGGCTGAGGTGGGCGGATTACCTGAGGTCAGGAGTTCAAGGCCAGCCTGGCCAACATGGTGAAACCCCATCTCTACTAAAAATACAAAAATTAGCCAGGCACGGTGGTGTGCGCCTGTAATCCCAGCTACTTGGGAAGCTGAGGCAGGAGAATCACTTGAGTCCGGGAGGTAGAGGTTGCAGTGAGCTGAGATAGTACCACTGCACTCCAGCCTGGGTGACAAAGCGAGACTCCGTCTCAGAAAAAAAAAAGAAGGAGAAAAGGAGATCAAGAAAGTGAAGTACTGAACACCTTTTGCCTCTGGTCAGGGTGGATGATGTTGTGAAGTCGATGTACCCTCCGTTGGACCCCAAGCTCCTGGACGCACGGTGAGAGCGGTGGTGGGTGCACGTTTGGTTTGTCATGCAGAGGTCCACAACTGTTTTATCAGATCTGTGAGGCTGGCTGACTGACTTGTGTAGGGAGGGTGGCTTTGCGGACTCCTTAGGCTGCCCGGGCCTTAGGTGCCATTTACTTCAGTGAGTGGCTCCTGACTGGGTGATAGAGGCCAGTCCTCTCCTGAAACCCAAGAGAAGAAAGAGCCAGTCTTAGATTTTAAATTGTTATGATTAGACATCCGGCCATGTTACATTCTACCCGTGCCTTCCCTTCCACCTTTCCTCTTGCGCCCTCTGATTTTTGGACCCCAGAAGCAGATATGCCTTAGCTGTGAGTGCTGCCCAGTGGGGCGGTGGGGCAGTGGTTCCCAGAGCAGTGAGAATGGAAGTGACAGGTCAGCCATGGCTGTGCTCACCTGCCACCAGATGTGCACATACACAGAGTGTACTTAGCTGTATGAAATTGTTATGTTCCTGTACCAGATGCATGCCATGTAAGAAAGATAAATTCTTTTCTGCCTTGGATTTATATGACTGTTTCATACGCATGTAACAGTTGCCAGATCGGCAATGGGTCACAGCGCTTCAACTTTGGTTTCTCTGCCCCACTCCTACTGCTGCCCAGCTTTGTCCATGGGTTAATAACCTGTAACATATTCTCAAATACATCATGGTACTCACTATATAAAAGGTATTCTACAGTGAATTTTTCAGCACTGAAAAATCTACTCCTCACTTCGGTTTTCAATTACATTTTTTTTGTTTTTTTTTGAGTTGGATAAACCAGCCCTGGGCCTTACCGATTTGTAATCAGTAAGGAATGTTTAAGTGAGGGTGTGTCTGTCCTGTGTTTAAGTGGGCAGCAGTTGGGGATTGTGCTCATCCGATTGATCATATCTGAACTGTTTCACAAGGCGCTCTTTGGGGGAGATGTTAATAGGTGTGCTGCAGAAAATGGCTTCCACAGTCTTAAATAGGCTTGTGAGAGACAGCCTGTTATATTCTCCTCGGAGCTTTATCAGGTACATCTCAGAAGGCTCTGAGGCAAGCTTCAGTTAACCTTGTTTAACCTAGCCATCTCCAAATTTATTTGAGCATGGAACCAACTTTAAATTGCATACCTACCAACATCATAGGGAAAGGTGTGCAGTTTGGGGAATACTAGTCAAAAAGTCTGTCTATTTGGGCTTTTGTGCAAAGTCCCTCATTTCCTAGGAAACCTGACCCTATTTTTTTTTCCCCTAGGACAACTGCCCTGCTCCTGTCTGTCAGTCATCTGGTGCTGGTGACAAGGAATGCCTGCCATCTGACGGGAGGCTTGGACTGGATTGACCAGTCTCTGTCGGCTGCTGAGGAGCATTTGGAAGTCCTTCGAGAAGCAGCCCTAGCTTCTGAGCCAGATAAAGGCCTCCCCGGCCCCGAAGGCTTCCTGCAGGAGCAGTCTGCAATTTAGTGCCTACAGGCCAGCAGCTAGCCATGAAGGCCCCTGCTGCCATTCCTGGGTGGCTCAGCTTAGCCTTCCACTTTTTCCTGTAGAGTTAGTTGTTCTCCATGGCTCAAGAGTTCACCTGTGTGTGCATAGTAAAGCAGGAGATCTGCATCAGTTTATGCCTCTGTTGCAGTTGCAAACTGTGGCTGGTGAGTGGCAGTCTAATACTACAGTTAGGGGAGGTGCCATTCACTCTCTGCACAGAGGAGCACTGAAAACTGGTGGACTGTCAGCTTTATTTAGCTCAGCTAGTATTTTCAAGAAAATTGAGCCAGCGTCTAAGAAATCAAGAGGTTTCACGTTAAAATTAGAATTTCTGGCCTCTCTCGATCAGCCAGAATGTGTGGCAATTCTGATCTGCATTTTCAGAAGAGGACAATCAATTGAAACTAAGTAGGGGTTGCTTCTTTTGGCAAGACTTGTACTCTCATCTGGCCTGTTTCATTTATTTGTATTATCTGCCTGGTCCCTGAGGCGTCTGAGTCTCTCCTCCCCCTTACAGGTTTGGGTTTGAAACTGAGGAACTATAAAGTTGATGATTTCTTTTTTATCATTATGCCTGCAATTTTACCTAGCTACCACTAGGTGGATAGTAAATTTATACTTAATGTTTCCCTCAAGTGTGTAGTTATTGAGTCAAATTCATATGGATGGTGTATTGTGGGACATACTTAGATGGAAGGAGAGAGCCTAAGAATCCTGAAGATGATTTCTGTGTATGCCTCAAAATGAGATATTTAGGCTGGGTGCAGTGGCTCACACCTGTAATCCTCGCACTTTGGGAGGCTAAGTTGGGTGGATTGCTTGAGCCCAGGAATTTGAGACCAGCCTGGGCAACGTGGTGAAACCTCATCTTTACAGAAACTACAAAAATTAGCTGGACATGGTGACACATGCAGCTACTTGGTAGGCTGAGGTGGGAGGATTGCTTGAGCCCAGGAGGTGAAGGTTGCAGTGAGCCCTGATCGTGCCACTGCATTCCAGCCTGGGCGACAAAGTGAGACTTTGTCTCCAAAACATACATATATATAAAATATGTTTAAAGACCTCTTGAAGTTCAGGCAGAAGTGAAGATACCACTGTGAAGTAGTTTCCACATTAACAATAGCGATGACATGAAGGATGTGTTCCCCCTTTCTTCTGATATTAATATCTGTTCATTTTGAAACATTGAGACGAGGGGCATTTTTATGACTTGAAACTTTACTATGACCCAGAATCACAATTATATAATTTGGATACATACCCAGATGGCATAATTTCTATCATAAGCCTGTAGGAAAAGCTTGAAGTTCTTTACTTCTCAGGTTCTCAGAGCCAGCTTGCTCTTGGGAGAGAGGCCTGGTATAGGGGCTGCCCAGGTTCATAGCCTATGCTGTCAAGCATGTTTGGAGTTGCATACCTGTTCCCATGTCAGTTTCTCTAACTGAAGTCAGGAAATTCCTCAGCTGGATTCTAGGAAACCAGGAACCCATATTCCCAAATGCAAGATTGGGGCCTGGTTTGTCTTTCAATTTGGGCACATTTCATTCTCTCCAGGAAAATGGGCCATTTCCATCCTGCACAATGTACACCAAACCACAGCTGGGATATGGAGTCAGGAGAGGGAAGCTGGAGCTCAACTCTCATGGACTAAAGGATGGATTCTGGATGGGTTCCAGGGGACACCTTATTGGATTGGTGGCTTCCATCAACCCTAAAAACGTTAAGTGGTGAACTTTCCTGTCCTGTCAAGCTGTGAATGGGGAATGTATACAAAGTTACTTCGACTTTTCTATTTGAGGCCTCCACAGTAAACATCCAGAGTCCTCCTATTTTCTTTTTACCTCCCTTTCAGAGCCCGTTTTCGTAATTAGACTGGAAAGCAATTCATGCTAAGTGCAATGGCTGCCACAGTTGTAAGTGTCCCCTGCATTTTAGCCTGCACTAGAGCCCTAAGCCACAGAGAAGCAGTTCTGAATTAGTATCTCAAATACCATCCACCCAGTATGGGTCTGTGGGGTGGAGAGCTTTCCCAGCACCCCTAAAGCAATGCCCAATGTCAATTACCTTCTCTAAGTCCTGGCAAGTCCTGGCACACCGGCTCTCTGGATCCCGTAGATGCTGCCCTTTCTGTTGTGAGGAGAGGTTGCCAAAGATATTGGAGGTGTCTGCTGGACTGTAGGATTTCTGATTCCACTGCTGTGTAGTTTTTCTTTCTAGTGCTGTACAAGAAGCCTCTGGATAAATTTGGTGTTGGTGGCTGATGGTTGAGGTAGAAGCAGTCAGGGGGTAGGAGGCAATGCCACTCCTCTAGGCCCTTTGGGAGTTGGCTGAAGTTACTTCCTCCCTTGGAAGGGGCTGGTTAGTGAGTGCCAGGGATCTCAGGAGTGTCTCTGTGCCAGATGTGGTTTCCCAGGCAACAGACACATTCCTAAGTCCCTAGTTCACTAGCGTCTATATAGATGGTAGTAGAGCCTTCCTTCCATGTCTCCCTTCCCCTGGCCTGGAGTAGGAGCATTAGACTCAAATTCTGATGAAAAAGAAATTACCTGGACATAGGAATTCAATGTGAAGAGAACAAGATATTTGAAGTCAGACAGAATTAGGTTTGAATTTGGGCTCAGTGACTTACAGTGTGAGCTTGGTCAGGTTCTTAACATTCTGGTCCTTAGCATTCCCATCTGTATGATCAAGGCTATTGTCATTGGGTTGGTATGCCAATCATGCGAAGTGGTATGTGTGAGCTGCCCAACTGTGGACCTGGTTCTGATTAGTCAATGTTAACCCCTCTTTCTCCACAGCTTCCCGTTCTTTGATGCCGCTGACCCAGATGGCATCACCTCAGTTACCATGGCTTGGTCCAAACAGCGACTTCTGTTCATGGGCTCTGGAATTGAGTGGCCAAAAATCTGGAATCCCTGCAGTAGGGAGAGTAGCCTTGTCCCTGCCCTGCTACAAGTCTGTTCATATGGAGACATACAAAGCCGTGGGCCTCTTATCAACATTCAAAGGGTTGATTGTGCAAGCTCACATTCCTCTAGAGCAACTCCCCCAGCTTGTGAGATCTCCGAGAGGGAACATGTGTTCCTGGCATCCAACTTCCCCTGGTGCTGCCCCTGACCTGCCTCATTCCAGGAGTTCCCTCTCTTCAGAGACCCTGTGTGCCCACACGAGTGGACTTTTAGAAAATGGCCTATAGTTCAAAGGCCCTGCATTGCTTTATGGCCTTGGAAATGTGGGGAAAGTGTCAGATGAAGAATTTCTATCCTCCTCACCTCCTCCCTGTCTCCCATAAATGCATACTGAGAGCTTACTGTGAAGGAGGGGTCGTGCTAGATGCTGGAGCTATGGAACAAAAGGCACAATCCCTGCCCTTAAGGAGCGATAGAGAAATGAGCAGCTGCTGGAGCCATGGCTGTAGCCAGTGCTGTGTTGGAGGGGACCGCAAGAGGGGCCGTGGGCACACAGAGCAGGGACGGGGCAGGGGGGCGGTTGAAATAGGAAAGAGCTGCTGCCTGAATGGAGACTTGATAAAGAAAGAGTCAAGCAACAGAACAGAAAATGGTCCCAGCTACTCAGGTGGCAGAGGCAGGAGGATCGCTTGAGCCCAGGTGGGGCGGAGGCTGCAGTGAATCTTGATAGAGCCACTGCACTCTAGCTTGGGCGACAGAGCAAGACCTCGTTTCAAAACACACACATGTACACACACATAGAAAGTGCCGGGGGAAGTAATATGGTTGTGTTGTGTTTGTTCTGGTGGGTCTTACTGTGTTTCTATGAGAAAGGCTGATGAGCAGTTTTGAGAATTTGAGGCAAAACTGGTTCTTCCTATTTCATCCTATTTGTATTTTTATTATCCCAATGTTTTAGGTAAGGAGACCAAAGCAGAAAGATCAGTAACTCTCCTGGAGTCTCACAATTAATATGAATCAGAGCAGGATCTTCAGCTCCCCAACTTGTGTTTTTCACTGGCACATCTTCCTGCCTGGGTGCAGCAGGTGGGAAATCCATCATGGAAAGGAAAGAACAGACATGAGAGTCATTCCATTCTCTTCTAGTTCAAATCTTTTTTGTGAAAAAAAAAAAAAATGGTAATTGTGACCCATGAACTAATTTCATGGCTTACAGTCCACAGGATGAGAGAACATAGGTACTAAAATGAGGGCTGGGGCATGGCTGAGGTAGTTCCTCTCCTTCCAAAATGACTTAATTTTATCTATTTAAAATAAAATTTGCATTTACCAGAATAGCGGCAAAAATTTATGGTGCAGAATAGAATAATTGATTTATTACATGATTGATTAGTTCAAGAGTCATCTGTTGAGCATCTGCACTGGATTAGGCCCAGAGATGCAGGAATGAATAAAAAGATAATGTCTCTCTTGAGGCACATACAATCTAAGGTGGAAAGAAAACCATAAAGAGTCATTTTCAATACAGTGTGGTAAGGGATAAGGGAGGGAATGTGTGTGTGATGACAGCACGGATCAGGGCCACCAAACCCAGGTCATGAGAGTTTCCTAAAGGTGGTGACATCTCAGAATTGTCTGTCAAGGAGGAGTAGGTGTTAGGAGAAGACAGGGTGGGGTTGGGGAAGGCGGAAGTGGAGGACAGAGCATCCAGGCAGGGCCATCTGTGCAGACATGACATTCCATGCCATGCTCAGGACATGTCAGCTGGTTCAGTAACTGCAAGTCTCAGGTGGGAGCCGGGGCACGGTGGGAGGTGAGCCTGGAGAAGAAGGTGAGGATGAAACTCTGGAGAGTCTCATAGGCCTTGCTGAGGTCTTTGGACTTTTTCTCTAGGTCGTAGGGGGCAATTGAAAGTTGAAAATTGCTTTCTTATTTTTTTCCTGGGACACTAGCAATTGATCACTGCACCCTCACCAGCCTTTAATGTTTTCCTAATTTGATAGGTGAACAATGGCTTAGCATTGTGTTAATTTGCATTTCTGTGACTACTGGTGCAGTTAGACATTTTTTAAATGTGTTTATTAGCTATTTATACATATTCATGACCATTGCCCATTTTTCTACTGGGATTTTAGTATTATTCTTATTGACTTATATAAGCTCTTTATATATTAAACATAACAACCCTTTGTCATATTTATTGCATATATTTTTCCCTAGCCTTGTCATTTGCTTTTTAGTTTTGTTTACAATGGTTTCTGATGTCCAAAAAGTTTCAAATTTGGTGTAGTCAAATTTATTGATTTTCCTTTCATTAGTGATTTCTTCCATGGCTTTTATACTTTCTTACCCAGAGATAAAATAAATATCATAGAAATATTTGAAGCAGTGGAGTGTTCTGGGTGGAATATTAATAATAATATTCACATGTTAGGTGGAGTGGCAGAAAAACCCAGCAGGGTATAAAAAAACCCAAACCTTCCTTTATCCACCCCAAACCCAGCTCAAGGTTAAGGGTAGGAACAGTCACAGGCCAAAGAAATAGACAGTCACAGGTCAAAGAAATTGATGAGAAGAGGAAGGGAAACCTTGAAGGACGAGTAGGAGCTGGTCAGGCATACAGGGTGTGTGGGAGTAGCACAGAAAGGAAGCTGCATGTCCCAAGGTAGAGGCTGAAGAAACAAGCATGTCTGAGTGCCAGGGACAGAGAAAAGCCACACAATTTT